CCCCCCGCCCCGCGCGCCCCCGGCCTGGGGTGGCGGATCAGGTCGTGCGGTGATCCGGGGAGCCAAACCCGCCCGCCTAGCGCGCCCCTTCTGCCTCTGCGGCCGGGGGCCCGGAGCTGCGTGCCTTCGATCGCCAGGGGCGGGGGTGGCCGCCCGCCTGGGGGTCTCAAACCCAGATGCCCCCTTCTCAGCGCCCATCCATTCCTGCAAATCAAGAGGGCCCCTGGGTATTGTTCTCGATACCCCCAGCTTGGGGTCTGGGGGCTCTGCAGGCCCTTCCTCAAGGTGGGGAATCAAGGTTCTCCTGACCCCCCAGGACCCCAGGAAAGGCCTCACCATTGTTCCCCTCCCTGAAAGTCTGGAGGTCCTGACTTCTGCAAGCCTCTTCCTCAGGAACTCGGGAAGGGCCCAGTGCATGCTTCCCCCTCCCTCCAGCTACGGAGTGGGAAAGCAGGAGGCCCCCGCCTCCCCTCTGCGGGGTAATCTAAGGGACCCGCTGCTGCCCCACGATCGGCTCCCCATTCCCCAGTTGTGGGGCAGGGTCTAGGGGGCCGTCCAAGAGCTCAGCGCCCCCTGTTGCTTACCGCTTTTCCCACGGGGTTGCACCTCAGTGTGTCCCCGTCCCAGAAGGAAAGCCGGAGTTCCCCCTAGCCCCACCCCGGCTAGGCATCTCCCCAAAAGGTAGTTCTGAGCTCCCATGCCCCCCAGGAACGCACCCAGCTCTTCTCCCCTCACCCCAGCCTCCAGGCGCAGTGCAGCTGGGAGAGGATACAGCGCTGCCTGGGTTCCACAGCCCGGCCAGGGGCTCAGGGGCTCAGGGGCTCAGGGGCTCAGGGACTCAGGGGCTCAGGAATCTCGCCCTGCTGGAGATGTCTCCGCGTTTCCCCCAAGAGCCCCCGAGAAGGTCCCCAGCTGGGGGTGAGAATGCACCATCTTCTAGCCAGTGGGGGAAATGTATGCTGAAACCTGTCCCCGCCTCCCTGGCTGACCTCACTCTCCCCGCAGGAGGGCTCCCACCTACACTCTGCCTTAGGGAAGAGGCACGCTGGATCTGTCCCATGAGCGTGAGGTCTAGAGTTCAGGTTGTCCGCTCGAAGGAGGCTGGCCGGGCTCTCCTGCCCTCTCCCTGGTGTCTAGCCGGGGAGCCAGATGGCCTTTGCCTCTCATTTCCCCCCAGGCAGAGTTAAAGAGCTCAGTCAAGTCCTGGGGAGGAAGCCAGCCGGAAGCCAACCCCTAACCTCAGGCCCGGGCTCTGCCGCCCCAGGTGTGCAGCGGGAATGCGGGCGCTGCACCCTGACAGCCAGGCGCTTCCCCACAAGGGAACCTAGGTCTCTCTCTTCCACAGGACCCAGGCTGCCCAGCACAGGAGCCCAGGATGGACAGAGGGGCAGAGCCATGCAGTTGGGCACTGGAGACCTCTAGTTCAGGGTCCTGTGACTTCCATCCAGGTTTGGGGCTGAGCAGGGAGGGTCCCCCATGTCCTGTCAGGGTACCCCAGACTGAACTTCCTGGCTGTGGCTGGGGAAAAGAGAACCAAATCCCTGGCGAAAGACAAAGAAGGAGCCAGTCCCTTCTCTGAGCCCTGCCAAGCCTCCACAGCACACGCCCTGTGCCCCGAAGGGCCCACCATGACCCTCTCTCCTTGCCCGGCAGATCCTGTCCCAGAAACGACCTGCGGTTCCACACCGGGGATGCGGCGCTCGGTCCTGGTCAGGAACCCAGGCCACAAGGGCATGAGGCCTGTGTATGCAGAGCTTGACTCTGACTCAGAAGACCCGGACCCCAAGGACGAAGATCTGGACCCGGTTTCTGAAGACCCAGAGCCAGATCCGGAAGACCTCAACACTGTCTCTGAAGATGTGGACCCCAGCTATGAAGATCTGGAGTCCATCTCTGAGGATCTGGACCCCAGCAGCCATGCACCAGGCTCCGTCTTGGGGAACCGAGACTCCCACCCCCAAGATCTGGACCCCATGTCCTCCAGTTTCGATCTTGATCCAGATGTCATTGGCCCTGTACCCTTGGTCCTCGACCCCGACAGCGAAGCCCTCAGTCCCGCCGCGGCAGACGTGGACCCCCTTTCCTCCAGCGTCACTGCCACCCCCAAGGTCCTGGCCACCAGCCCCGAGGTGCTCCCCGCCCCAGCCAGCCCACCCCGGCCCTTCTCCTGCCCCGACTGCGGCCGCGCCTTCCGCCGCAGCTCGGGGCTGAGCCAGCACCGCCGCACCCACAGCGGCGAGAAGCCGTACCGCTGCCCCGACTGTGGCAAGTCCTTCAGCCACGGCGCCACGCTGGCGCAGCACCGCGGCATCCACACGGGCGCGCGCCCCTACCAGTGCGCGGCCTGCGGCAAGGCCTTCGGCTGGCGCTCCACGCTGCTCAAGCACCGCAGCAGCCACAGCGGGGAGAAGCCGCACCACTGCCCGGTGTGCGGCAAGGCCTTCGGCCACGGCTCGCTGCTCGCGCAGCACCTGCGCACGCACGGCGGCCCGCGGCCTCACAAGTGCCCGGTGTGCGCCAAAGGCTTCGGCCAGGGCTCCGCGCTGCTCAAGCACCTGCGCACGCACACGGGCGAGCGGCCCTACCCGTGCCCGCAGTGCGGCAAGGCCTTCGGGCAGAGCTCCGCGCTGCTGCAGCACCAGCGCACGCACACGGCGGAGCGCCCCTACCGCTGTCCGCACTGCGGCAAGGCGTTCGGGCAGAGCTCTAACCTGCAGCACCACCTGCGCATCCACACCGGCGAGCGGCCCTACGCCTGCCCGCACTGCTCCAAGGCCTTCGGGCAGAGCTCCGCGCTGCTGCAGCACCTCCACGTGCATTCCGGGGAGCGCCCCTACCGCTGCCAGCTCTGCGGCAAGGCGTTCGGCCAGGCCTCCAGCCTCACCAAGCACAAGCGGGTGCACGAGGGCGCAGCTGCAGCCGCTGCTGCTGCTGCTGCCGCCGCTGCCGCCGCCGCCGCTGCTGCTGGCTTGGGCCTCGGGGCTGGCCTGAGCTCTGCGCCCGTGATGAGGCCCAAGAAGGTCTCCTACCTGGGTGCTGATCCTGTCTCTGGCCTGGGCCTCAGCCCTGGCCCCAGTTCTGGCTGCAGCCCTGACCCTGGCTCCCTTTCCAGTCCCAGGCCCAAACTCCTCACTGGCTCCGGATCCACCCCCAGCCCCGATCCTGTTGAATCTTCTCACCCTAAGCCTGGTCACGATGCTGACCCTGCCCTTGTGCCCAGCCCTGACCCTGTGCCCAGCCCAGACCCCAACCCGGAGTCCCAGCCAGACCTCTGCTCTCCCTCCTGCGGCACTGTCAGCCCATCCCCCTCTACTGGCGAGAGTCCCGAGTGGGTCCAGGAGCAAGGGGCACTGTTGGGGCCTGATGGCTGAAGGGGACACCGCAGGGTGTCTGCGAGGGCCTGGGGAAGTTGTGTGTTGTGCACTTAGTAAAACCCTCCCACTGCCTCTGGCCTCTGTGTTGTGGCTTGCCTTCTGTGTTCTCTCCCAGTGGAGTGTTGGGTCCTCCAGAGGTGGGGAGGTGTGGTCAGGGCCAGCCATGCATCTGGAGCCCCACCCTCCAGGTCCTTAGCAGCTGTCGGTACAGGGTCTCCTCCTGCCCCTGGTCACCAGTCTGCTCCCCCAGATCTGGCTTGCTGAGGCAAAGGGAGACTCCCCCAGCAGGTGGGCCTGGCAGGATCCCCTCCCTTCAGCTTTCCCACTCCCGCTGGAATTTCTAGCATGTTGACGTGCTCATGGTCTGATAATGGACGCTGATGTGAGGGGAGCCCCAACCCGCCAGCTCCGGGAGCCTACCCTTGACCTTGGGAGCTCACATAACAGCTACCCCACCGGATAAATGCACGCTGTGCATTTACGTGTTTGACAAACCTGCTGATTCTTATGTCTTAGCAGGGAGCAAGATAAACATGGCCTCGCTCTTAACGGAGCTCACCCATCATATTCAAGAATATTATCTGACATAATTACAGAGGAGGGACATTCTAGAAGAAGCAGGGGCTGGGGATACAGCTCAGCGGCACAGCACCTGCCTGGCAAGTGCAAGGTCGTGAGTTTGATTCCCAGTACCGGAAAAAAAAAAAAAAAAAATAGAAGAAGCATAAGACTTCTGGTTTAGACAGGACAGCTTTCCCGAGGATTTTATCATCCCAATAACCCTAACTGAATAATCAGCACTGCTGGTGTAGCTCTGCCTGATGGTCTTCATTCTCTCGTTTAATTCTCCATTGCTCTGTGAGGCTGGGGGCACTCGGGTGTCCCCATTTTACAAAGGAGGAACCTGATACACATGGGAGTTTAAGGGACTCGGGAAAATGTACAAGTGGCCAATGCCAGTGCTTAGATTTCAGTTGCCCTCCCCGCAGAGCCCACATTCTTTACTGTTCCCTAAAAGCGTGTGCAAAGGCCCCGGGGTGGCTCCGGGGCTGAGCTGTAGGAGGCGCTGCAGCAGGGGAGGAGCGGCCAGAAGGTCTGGCAGAAGACTGTCCGCAGCCAGTCGTTGAAGGCACTTCTGGCCGCTGGGTGGAGTTGGGGGTAGCAGCAAGAAAGGCCTAGGCTCAAGGAGGATGCTGTGGGAGTGCAGGCCGGGGATGTTTGGGGGCTCTGGGTTGGGGCTACAGGGGTGGGAATAAGTGGTTTGGGAGAGGATAGGTCTGGGATCATCACCCAATCCCGACGAGCGTAAAGGGTCAAGCTGTGAAAGCAGGAGTCAGGAGATTCGCCCCAGGCGAGTGTCAGGAGAGAGAGCTAGGGCGGAACCAGCCTGTCTCGTCGGCGCTAGGACCTAGCGACCGCTTTTGGCCCGCCCGGCGAGGCTCCGGCTGGGGCACGCATGCGCGGTACTCCGGGAGGAGGTTCGTCCGGCGCAAGGGGTGGGGCCACGGGAATCACGTGGGCCTCGGGCGCTCTGGTCACGTGACCGCGGCGCGGATCAGCTGATGCGGGAGGGTTTGAAGCGGCGCCGCGAGGGTGTGAGGCCGCAGTGACAGCGGCGGGCGTCCGGTCCGGACCCTGGCTGCCCCGCC